GTTACCCTGCAGGGCTCTAATGAAGGAAGTTCATTGATCTGTGCTGCTGCTGCTGCTGACATGCAGATGGCAGATGGGAGCCTGTCTCTTACTCCTCGTGTGTCTGGGTGTGTGTGTTTCGACAGGTCCACTGAGCGCTGCCTGGCTGCCCCCGGTCAGCCCCGGCCATGACCTCGGAAGAGGGGGAGCCTGGCCATGAAACGCCCCTCTGCAGGGATCCTGGGGCGCCCTGCGCTGCTGCGAGCCCCGATCTCAAGAGGTGAGAGGAGCTGTGTTTGTGTGTGCGAGGCCCTGACTCCCTCCTGTGACAGGCCCGATGGCATGTCAATGCCCCAAATCAGGGGTTCCCAGTCCGGCTCCTGGGGGACCCCCACACCTGCCACTGAGCTGTCTGCCGAAATGAGCCCTTCAGTAATTAAATTAAATTGCAACCAGCCAGCCAGCTGCAGGAAAACAACTCTCATCGTGGGAGCAGTGCTTTTCCTGTAACTTTCCTGTAACTGTAACAGTATAGTCTGAACATTGCTTGTGCCGGGTGGGGTTGCTGTGCTCCGTTTGCTCTCTCTGACACTGTTCAGGGCTGCAGCGCTATGGGTGTTTTGAAGAGGGCTCGTATGCAGAACTACTTCGTTTGAAACCGTACGTGTGGCGTGAGAAGAGAGGGGGTTGGCACTCCCCCGGAGCCTGTAACACACGTACGCCTAAGACATTGCCACCCACTTGGTGGCATCTCTAAGTGTCTTTTGGGCAGCTCAGTGGTGCGCCATCTGTGTGGAGTTTGCATGTTCTCCCCGTGTTTGTGTGGGTTTTTTCCGAGTGTTCTGGTTTCCTCCTGAAAATTGGCCCTGTTGTGAGTGGGTGTCTGTGTGTGTCCTGTGATGGACTGGCGTCCTGTCCAGGGTGTGTGAGAGTGTGTGTCTGTGTGTGTCCTGGGATGGACTGGCGTCCTGTCCAGGGTGCGTGAGAGTGTGTGTCTGTGTGTGTCCCGTGATGGACTGGTGTCCTGTCCAGGGTGTGTGAGAGTGGGTGTCCTGTGATGGACTGGTGTCCTGTCCAGGGTGTGTGAGAGTGTGATGGACTGGTGTCCTGTCCAGGGTGTGTGAGAGTGTGTGATCTGTGATGGACTGGTGTCCTGTCCAGGGTGTGTGAGAGTGTGTGATCTGTGATGGACTGGTGTCCTGTCCAGGGTGTGAGAGTGTGTGTCTGTGTGTGTCCTGTGATGGACTGGTGTCCTG